TGGAAAAAAATGCCTGGGAGGAACTCAGAAGCCCTCGTCACCATATGGGGTTGGAGAGACCACCTCACTTCCTTGACTCTTCCTTGCAGGCACAAACCCCTTGCGCGTGCGGGTGCAGGACGGCCTTGGTCCCTGCGTGGGGCGAGTGGAGGTGCTCTACAACGCTACCTGGTATGGGGTGTGCAGCAGTGACTGGAGCTTGCTGGAAGCTGGGGTGGTCTGCAAGCAGCTGGGCTGTGGGCCAGCCCAGTCGGCACCCGACGGAGCCCAGTTCGGCTGGGAGGGCAGCGGTGCCTTGCTGGAGGGGCTGAGCTGCTTGGGGAGCGAGTCACTGCTCCTGGAGTGCCAGCAGAGAGACCTTGGACCGGGGCCGTGCAGGCAGGGCTCGGCAGCCGGCGTGGTGTGCACAGAGCAGAAAGGTGAGCACTGGGATCCCCCGTCATCCGCTCGCTCTGCATCGGGGCCATCCGGGTGCAGACACATGGTGGGATAAAAGCTCCTGTCTCCACCCCAGTCTTGGCTCCTCTCAGGCAGGCAGAAGCATTGCCATAAACCTTTTCCCCAGGAGACATTTGGTGGGCAGGGTAGAGGCAGCGGCTGTAAGGCAGCGGAGTGGGATGAACTGGGTGAAGGTGTCTCAGCGGGTGTGGAGATCCGAGCATCCCTGGTGGACACGCTCTGTTGGCATCAGCCCAATGCGGGGGTGTCCACGCACCCACCATCCCGAAGCAGAGGGTGAGCTGTCACTCCTGCTGATGAGGGTCAGCCCCAGCACGCAGGAGGGCAATGAGGGAGGATGTTGCAAGTCCCCAAAAACATGCAGCAGAAGGGAAGTGTGAGAGGGGCAGAGAGGGTCAGGTCATCCAAATAACCCCCTCTGAGCTTCACTCTTCCTGCAGACATTATACAGGCCTGCTCGGTGCTGGCAGGCCTGCTTGGCACGGGGGCAATGCTTTGCGGGATCCTGTTGGTCCTGTACCTGTCAACGAGGTGTGGAAGACGGGTTGGACGCTCCCCAGGTAAGAGTAGGACAACAGCACGTCATGCACCTGGCCTGTTTGTGGAGCTGGCTGTGCTCCTGGCTGGCATGGAGGCACCCCAGCCTGGGGCTGGGGTCTGCACCCTGCGTGCATCACTCTGCTCCTTCATTTTGCAGACAAGTCGCTTCCAAAGAAGACAGAGGACACCGGGATGTCATCCGAGGCTTAGGCAGCCATGCTCCTGGTGTCGAAGGCAAGGCTCTCTCAGGACCCCAGAAGACCCCGTTGTGTAGAGCCAGAAAAGCAGAGCAGCCACTGCGATGGTCAGCAGAGGGGAGCCCCTCTGGCAGAGCGGAGACCCCTGCCCTGTGTGCCCCATAGCCCCCAGCTCACTGCACTGAGCCTCTGTGGGTCCTAGTTCCCCCAGGCAGCACTGCAAAGTCCCTCAATCCCCAAGTAAGGTCTTCTCAGAACAATCCCTATCTGGTCCTCTGGGTAGGCTCCAGCATCCTAACCCCATCTTCACAGACTCCTCTTATTCACAGCCCTATGTCTGGTGTCATCACTATTCCCAGCCCTATAGCCCCCTATAATCCCTATAACACCCTGCAGACTCATGTGCAGTGGCACCCGCTGCCATCACCCTCACCGCATTCCCAAAGGGATCATACCTTCTCCCCTAATCTCCCACGGTAGTGAGGACTACTTCCTGACCCAGGAGCAAGCGAGCAGGGTGCTCTCTTGCACTGTACACAACCACCTTTGCAAAAGGAGGAGTGAACTTAAAAGCCCATCCAGAATAGGTTGAGAGCTCCCTCACCCGTTGTATTTATTCAATCCACTTTTGAATACCAGTAAAACCCCTGAAACCCAAAATAATGAGAATGCAGCATTATAGAGACTCAGCGATATGAGTGGTGAGGTGGAAGTGGTGGAAAAACAGGACCCTTGGTTATAGAGGGGTTGTCGATGACCGGGTCAGATACAGAAGACTCAAGATTGCTAATGTTGGGTGAGACACTGTCCTGGTGACCAACAAGGAAAGATCACATTCCTAATGGAGCAACCCATGGAGTCAAGTCTGAGCGCCAAACCATCCACCACTTTGGTGAAACCAGCAGGGGCAATGGTCAGAGGAATGTCCCAATGCCATGGGGAGGGAATGAAGGGACCACGGGCTTGACCAGGTTGTGATGAAGGTGCGCCTCATGAGCCATGCTGATCTCCGCAGAAGGGCATGGAAAGGAACAGTTGGTACGAGAGGCAGCAGGGAGAAGACACACATAATGAATGAGTCACAGCATGTATTTCAACACCCTTTAGGTCCAGTGTCCCACCTCTGCTTCCCTCACAGCCAGCAGCTTGCAGCTGTGACCAATTTGCATCTTGCTACTTGTCCTAAGCCCCAGCCACAGAGAACCCCTGGCCAGGTGTCTCCTGTCAACATGTGGCCACAAGGTCATCTTCTGCTTCTCCACAGACATCCATCACTCTTGGGACTTCAGGGCTTCTCATCCTCCTGCTGGCACCTGAGCCTTCTCATCTCATCATGCCCCAGCAGACTTGGTCCTCCAGCCTTGCCTGTCCCAAAGTTTACATCAAAGGCCCAGGGCTCCTTTTAGCTCTGGATAAAGTGTCCTCAGAATACGGGAAAACAGTGGCTTGGACCCAGTTTTGTGCAATAAAATATGTGCACCATTTGGAGAAGGTCTTTGCCATAAAGCTGGGATGGCTTGATGCTCTTCAGGCTTCCCAAATGCAGGACCAGCACCTGCTAGATCCCAGCTCAGGCCATGGGTTACTCTGCAGAGATGCTCTGCAGGGATGGCAGTATCTCAAGAAGGGGTTTCAGACTTCCCGGGGGGACACAACACCCAAATTCAAAAGGAGCAGAAGGGAGGTAGGACCATGACTCACTTCCAGAGCAGCTGTTTGTCCAAACTGTGAGAACAGCCCCAGCAGAAACACCCTTGCCGAGAGCTTCATCGGCCATGTCAGGCTATGACAGCTCACAGCATTTCTGTGCCAGTCAGTGTCGAGATTCTCGTTACTGCTGGCCTGTTTGTTTGCAAAGGAGGGGAACAAAGTCCTTTGGCTCACTGAGCCTTGGTACAAATGAGTACAGTCACCTTTCCCGACTGCTCAACTTTTTACGAGATGAGATTTGACTAATTTCCAGCCTAATTTTCACCCGCTCATTCTTGTACCTTTGTTTAGCACACATCTTTTTTTTTTTCCTTTTGGTCTTCTTCATCATAGTTCTGCATGTCTCTGGGGTTTGGGTTTCTCCTGTTTGATCTTCCTACAGGCAGTAATCTACTCTCTACTCTACTACCCCTCTCAGGTTTTGCCAGGCTGAACAGGTTAAACTCAGCCTGAGACCCTCCTGGCCATGCTGTCCTCTTCCCATCACGTGCGCCAGCTTTGCTTCTTATTTTTGCACAGACACGGGCAGAACCATCCATCCTGGTTCTAGCAGGGGTCCCATCTTTGCCCAATACAATCCCGATCCTCGATGCACCACCAGCACAGCACCCACCTCCATCTGAATGCTTTCATTCGGAGCAATGGCTGATGTTAATTTGACGACCCTTTTGCTAAACTCATTCTTTCCAGCGGCACGCTGCTCTGGCTTCAGCCCCTTTCCTTGCACAACTTCAGCGTGCCACCAGGAAGGGATGGGAGGACAGCAAATTCTTCCATTCTCTCAGTATCTTGGGACATGCCTGGAGAACCATCTGCATAACAGCAATCAGGAGGGAAACTGCTAATCAGAAAGGGACCCTTGGGGTCCTGCCACAGTAGGATAAGAAAGTGGCTGTTCCCCTTGTTTTCCAAATCCAGCTGAGCCATTCAAAGCATTGCAAGGTGGGTGTGAGACCATTTCGCATCACAGACAGTCTCCAGACTCGCCTGACGGCAATCGGCTGCAGTGCAGGTGCTGGCTCCAGCCTCCACAATAAAGCCATTTCTAGCATTTAGTAACCTATTTTCTTGCAGCAGGTGGCCCCTCACCCCCCAAAACCCAACCAGACACTTTCTAATGAAGCTAACATAGCTGTATTTCCCCAGTTCTGCACGTAAAGTCTTGATTTAGCTTGTCAAAAGCAGGTGTCTGGTAGCAGGATGCATCAGGGCAGCCGAGGTGCCCACAGGGGCTGGCGCGTACGAGACAGGACCCAAGTGTCGAGAGGGTTTAGTTTGTTCTGTGTTTTCCTGGAACAGCTCATCATTTCGCAAGCCGATGACAAGACTGGCCGCTGCATGGGGCAGCGGGTCAGCTCCTGGCAGAGCTTCACAGGAGGTGAAACTCCCAGAGGGAAGCAGGGCAGAGGAAGAGGAGGGCTCACTGCAGAAACCCCAGTTTGCCCTCCCAGTTGGCCAGTGGGACACCGGGCTCAGCTGGCATCTCTCACAAGGACAGTCCACTCCAACCTCCAGCCCGTGGCCAGGCTGCGAACATGGGGATGCCGGGTGGTTTCCATCCCTTGTCCAGCTGCCCCAGGAGCAGAAATCAACCTACCCACAGTGCGGCCAAGAGCACGGGGACCCTCCTTCTGATGGCGTGCCTTTGGGGTGAGTGGCATTCGCCTTCGCTGCTGACCACAGGGAGCCCATCGGCTCCTCCAGCCTGCTCAGCTAGAACTTCATGGAGCACAGCAGAGGGTGGTCGGAGGTCCTTCCAGGGTTTCACTTCGGGTCTGAGGCAGGGAGGGAATGGCTTGTGATGGCTTTGGAGGTGAGTGAAAGGGGTTTTATGCGAAGTTGTTACAGTCCGGAAAAGGTAGACTCTTACCGGGGCTGCTGATTCGAATACCCGTCGAGAGGTTAAGGCACAAGCGAGGCCATATATTGTCAACACCACTACAAAGTTTTATTTAGAGAGAGAAAGGGAGAAAGAAAGGGAGAAAGGGAGGAAGAGAAGAAGAAGAAGAGCACGCCGCAATAGTCACCACAGGGGATCTGTAGCATCTGGTGGTTTTTCCCGTCCAGCAGCGGTCCAGTCCAGGCAGGCAGGCAGACCGGGGTCAGCTCTGCTCCGCTCCGCTCCTCTTTTCCCCTTTCTGCTTCTTCTTGCTTCTCTCTTGCTTCCCTTTGCTTTTCTTTTTTCCTCCAGAGGCTGCCGAGGGTCCTTTTCTTTGTACCATAGTCCCAGGCCAATCTGATGGTGATGGGTTGCGATCAAGCGGTGAGATCATGTCCACGTGCCGATCACGAGTTGGAAGTCTATGCAAACCTCAATTACACAGCTTGCAAGCTGTAGTGCATAAGCTGAACAAATTCATGCCTTTAGCTGTTACTGCGTAGCAACAAAAAAAGATTTTCAGGAAGCCATGTCGTCTAGCCCAGGGTCCTACCACGCCTGTCACTATGGTGACTTGAGTCTCTCCTTCCTTTCCAAAACCACAAGGTACAAACATTATGTTGAGACAAACATAAAGTTCAGTGGTCCTAATTCTTACCATTCCAGTGGTCCTAATTCTTACAGAAGTCAGGAGCTCAGCTCTCTCTGCTGCTCTCCAAGAGCCATGCGCTGCAGGTCTACTTCTGCACGCATGGTTTTGTCCCATAATCAAAGGCTTGTGCCCCATAATTAAAGGCTTGTGAGCATTACAGGAGTGGAGGGAAGCATGCTTGATCCTCAAGCTGTCTCACAGCTGGCCACGACCTTTGCTTTAATCTTGGTTCATCCTGGACCATACGTGGCAAACTCATGGTATTGCAGCATGGAAGGGGCTTGGCCAAACCCAACAGCAGTGTGTGTTAACAGGGGTGGTTCCCCATACGATGGAGAGGTGAGCAAGTAGGGACTCACACCCCCGGGACAAGGCTGGGTGGCTTGTGGATGTGCAGCACAAGGAACAGAATAGTTTTGGGGCTAACAGGGCAGACAGGCAAGATGCTGGCAAGAGACTGTCCCTTCTTGTGCTCAGGCAGAGCCACAAGGAAGCTGCAGACCCTGCAGGTCCCTCATGCTGGTAGAGATTTCGTTTTAATTTCCAGGCTGATTGCTTAGGCCAGTTTGTACCGCTGCCTCTTGGAACTAAAATTTTGCTTTAACTCACTTGGGTTTCCTCCTTCTTCGGTGTTCTATTTGCAAAGAGTACGATCTTCCCACTTTTGGGGGGGAAATTCTGGTCCTGGAAAATTCAGTACAGTGTTTGCTTCTTCAACAGTCAGTATCTCCTTGCTGGCTGGAGACATCTGGGCTGGGACTTGTCCACCTAAGCACAGTCAATGCACATGTGACCAGGCAGTGCTCGCAAGAAACATGCCAAGAACTCTATCAGCTCTGCTAAGTCTCAGCTGCAGGGTTGATTTGTTGCTTATCACGGGGTAGCCTCATTGCTCCTAGTAAAATAAGGAAGGAGAGCAAAAGGCGCACGGGGAAAGGACGAAACAGAGGAGCCAGCCATCATCAGGACCATGCTCTTAGCCCAGGGACAGGAGAGCTTGCAAACTGGAGAACCACCCGCAATGCATCTGGTTCAACCTAGAAGTGAATTTTGAGGGGCAGCTTTGCAAAGACGCTTTATTGCAAAGACGCTTTATCGCGAAGATGCTTTCCTGCTCCCTGCCGCGCAGCCTGAACAGAAGAGCTGAGCCAGGCATGCCTGGACGCACTGTGCCACAGCTGCCCAGATGCTGTTCGTGTTTGAACGACCCAGGGATTTGATTTTTAACCTGTTTCCTCCTCTTTCTGGCTCCTGAGACTTCCCAGGTGCTACGTCTGGCCCCTCGCTTCCTGATGGTCAGACCCACACACAGATCAGTGCCTGAGCACTTCAGAAATCATTATCCGTGGTCAAAAAGCTTATTTACACAACGCAATCATATCCCTCTTGAACTTCTTTTTTTTTTCTGCTGACCCAGCTGAGCTCTCCACATGATTAACATCCAGTTATGGCTCCTTTCTGCACCGTCTCCCTTCAGTTAGCACTCTGGCAAAAGTGTGCCTATGGGACCAGTGGCAATCTCACGCCGTGGGTCTTGCACATTGCCAAGACCCTTAGCTCAAGCATTTATCCACTCGTCCCTTCAAGCTTGCCAAGCAGCGGGACCCCAAGGCATTACCCCCTCTTGACGGCAAAGCTACGTCTTTGCTGCTGACCACTTGTACAAAAACATGCATGAGCTCAAATGCCCATCTTTTCTGCCTATTATATGAGCAAGAAAACAGCTCCTGGGGTGTCGGATCCACACTGAGGTTAAGATAGTTAAATTCAGGTGCAGAGATGGGGCTCAGCTGACTACAGATGCCCAGGGCCACCTGAGATGCCCAGGGCAGATGTGGGATGGTCAACACCACCTCTGAAATCCTTTTTGAGGGGACAGAGCCATCTCAAATGTGTGAGCAGCCGAGCCTGATCCACTCCCAGGATTTCACCTCCCCTCCTCTTTCCCCTCCTGGCTTTGCAGGCACAGCTGCTGAGAGCCCAGGGGGGTCCCTTCGCCTGGTGGGGGGCCCTGGCCGCTGCGCCGGGCGGGTGGAAGTGCTCCATAACGGGACATGGGGAACAGTGTGCGACGACGGCTGGGGTTTCCCCGAGGGCCAGGTCGTCTGCCAGCAGCTGGACTGCGGGACAGTGCTGTCGGTGGCACCAGGAGCTCGGTATGGAGAAGGGACGGGGAAGATCTGGTTGGACGAGGTCAGCTGCACCGGGCGGGAAAGGAACCTCTCTGAATGCCAAGCCAGGCCATGGGGGGAACACAACTGTCAACACGTGGAGGATGCCAGCGTTGAGTGCTCAGGTAGCCCAGGACAGCAGCCATCTGTCTGTGCACCACCTCCACCCCTGCATCCCTTCCTGCTGTACCGGTGGTGACGCACAACCATTCTCCAACTTGGGGTACCCGCAGACTCCAGCATCACCGCCCTAGGCACCCTCCAGCTGCTCAACGGCCCAAATCGCTGTGCCGGGAGGGTGGAGGTGCTCCACAACCACATGTGGGGGACAGTCTGCGACGACGGCTGGGACCTGGTGGATGCAGCGGTGGTGTGCCGGCAGCTGGGCTGTGGCACGGCGCTGTCGGCCACCAGCGGGGCTCGCTTTGGGAGAGGCCACGATCCCATCTGGTTGGACGAGGTGAACTGCACTGGCACCGAGGACACCCTCTTCGACTGCCGGGCCAGTGCGTGGGGGGAAAACAACTGCTTCCACGGGGAGGATGCTGGAGTGATATGCTCAGGTAACTCACCTTGAGTTGCAAGAGGGGTCAATGTCAGACTTTCAGGGTTTCCTAAGGGATCATGGGATGGCTCCTGCATCCCCCAAGAGTGCCTTTGCAGCTCTGCAGTCAGGTGCACGGGTTACTGAAGACCTACCCCAAAGCCTGGTTTGCCTTGGGGGCAACTAGGCTGTACAATGCAAAGCTTTCTGCCCGCGTAACTCACCCCTCCCAGTTCCTGCCCAATCAGCCAGGCCAGGTCTGTCTCGCCCATCACCCACCATGCGGGGCTTCTGATGGAGTTTTTGATGTGTCTGTAGCTCAGATCTTTTATTTGGGCTGCACAGCAGGGAGCAGGAAAGTGCCTTTGAAATAAGGTGACTTTGCAATAAGGTGACTTTGCAATAAAGCACCTTTGCAATAAAGTGCCTTTGCAATAAGGTCCTGCACCAGGCCAGTATCAATACAGGCTGGGCGATGAAGGGATCGAGAGCAGCCTTGCCAAGAAGGACTTGGGGGTGCTGGTAGATGAAAAACTGAAGATGACCCAGCAACGTGCACCAATTGCATCCTGGGCTGCATCAAAAGCAGCGTGGCCAGCAGGTCGAGGGAGTGGATTCTCCCCCTCTACTCTGCTCTGGTGAGACCCCACCTGCAGTGCTGCATCCAGCTCTGCGGCCCCCAGCACGAGAAAGACACGGACCTGCTCGAGCGGGTCCAGAGGAGGCCACGAAGATGATGAGGGGGCTGGAGCACCTCCCCTGTGAGGACAGTCTGAGAGAGTTGGGGTTGTTCAGCCTGGAGAAGAGAAGGCTCTGGGGAGACCTTATTGTGGCCTTCCAGTGCTGAAAGGGGGCCTGTAAGAAAGAAGGGTGCAATCATTTTACCAGGGCCTGTAGCGATAGGACAGAGGGGTAATGGTCCCTCCAAACCCAAACTATTCTATGATTCCATGATAAGGTGACTTTGCAATAAGGTGGCTTTGCAATTAAAGCCCCTTTGCAAAGCCACCCCCTCAAAATTCACTTTTAAGAAGATGCCTAGCATTGAGGGCACTCGGTCTCCAGTTTGGGCACTCACCGTGCACGCAGGAGGCTCAGGCTGGAGCAGAAGCAGCCGTGGCTCTCCCGGTGCACTTACCCTTGCGTGTCGTTGGCAGCTTCAGATGTCCGTGGCTGCCGATCTCCGCCTGGCCAACGGCTCGACGCACTGCGAAGGCAGGGTGGAGGTCACCCACAACGGCACCTGGGCAGCCCTGTGTGACGAGGGCTGGGGTCTGGATGAGGCTCGAGTGGTGTGCAGGCAGCTGCGCTGCGGGAGAGAGGTGTCGGCACCTGGCGGGTCGCATTTTGGGCAAGGACCCGGGCAAATGTGGCCCAACAGCGTGAGCTGTGTCGGCACGGAGAATGCCCTCTCTGCATGCAAGGTGAAGCTTCGGGGCAATGGCACTTGTCCCCATGGGAGAGAAGCTGGCGTGGTGTGCACAGGTAACCCCCTCGGGAGCGATACAGCGTGAGAAGTGGTGGGTCTTGGTCCATCACCTTGATTTTCCACCTCTGCAAGCAGCCCCGGACAAAGTGTCCTCTTTGTGGGTGTTTTCATCATGGGGTGTCGTGAGGTGTCTGGGGGGGATGGAGAAATTTTGGGCGTCGTCCCAGAGGGGTCGGTGCCAATGCCAGTGGGTGGGATGCTGCCGCAGTGCAGTTTGTAGCCTCTCGTCCCCTAGCCAGCAGGCACTGGGGGTCAGCCAGCTCCTTTTTGTGGTGATTAGACGAGCCTGCAGCACTTGGTGCAACACTCAGCGACCTGAGAAGGTGCCAGGGCAGTTTTCCTTACCAAGGGGTCACAGCGTGTCGGCCCTTCCCCACATTTCCCTCTTTCAGGTAACTCAGAGGGTGATCAGGTCCGACTGGTGAATTATGGCAGCCGCTGCGCTGGCAGGGTCGAGGTCTTCCATAACAAGCAGTGGGGGACCGTGTGCGATGACAACTGGGACCTGCTGGACGCCGAGGTTGTCTGCCGGCAGCTGGAGTGTGGGCGAGCGCTGTCAGCCCCCGGCGGGGCTCAGTTCGGGCGTGGGGATGGCATCATCTGGATGGACGAGACGAGCTGCACGGGGAAGGAGAGCACGCTGTCTGCCTGCCAGGCCCGGCAGTGGGGCATGAATAATTGCTACCATGGGGAAGATGCTGGTGTGGTTTGCTCAGGTGACCAAATCTCCTGTGGCATCACTCCACGCCACGCAGCGGGGTGTGGTGGGGCCGGGGGCGGGGGGAGTGTCATGATGGCAGGTCTGCACCCCCAGGTAAGATTTGGGATCAGCATCAGCAGCCAGTGGGGTTTTCCCGGGCCCTCCCTGCACCTCATGGTCCCATCGGAGGGCTGCTCTTCCCATCCCAAGGTGTTTATTTAAAGAAGAGGGAGGCATTCGTGCAGGGATCCCTATTTCTCACCCCTGCGGGAATCCTCCAGCTCCAACAACAGGACTGACTCATTGCAGGGAAGCTCATCAAAAGCAACCCCCCTGGCGAGCAGTTCTTGCAGGGAGTGGGGCTAGGGTCCAGGAGGATGCAGGACCAGCGAGGACCACCCTCTGCTCTGGTGCAGGGTGCTGCTGGGGGGAGTTTTGGGTTTCACCCCTCCTGTTCTCCCCTCCTCTGTGCTTTTTAGCACCTTGAAGAGGGGCTGGGAGCTTCATCGCAACAGGGTAAGCGTGGAGGGAAACTGGTGGCTGTCTGAAGGCATGAATAACCCTCTCGGGTGTTTGCAGACTCAATCATCCCTGAGCCGGCTCATCTCCGGCTGGCAAACGGCTCGCACCGCTGCGCTGGCAGAGTCGAAGTGCTTCACCAGGAGGAGTGGGGAGCCGTCTGCGACCATGGCTGGGATAAGCAGGACGCTGAGGTCGTGTGCCGGCAGCTGGGCTGCGGGATGGTGCTGCCGGCATTGGAGGGCGCAGACTTCGGCACCGGACCCCCACGCATCTGGCTGGACAATGTGAACTGCCAGGGGATGGAGACAGCCCTTACGAAATGCCGGGCGAGCCCGTGGGGAGAGAGTAGCTGTGACCACGGGAAGCACGCCAGCGTGGTATGCTCAGGTGGGTTTAACCACAGCAGCTGGGCTGCGGGATGGTGCTGCCGGCATTGGAGGGCGCAGACTTCGGCACCGGACCCCCACGCATCTGGCTGGACAATGTGAACTGCCAGGGGATGGAGACAGCCCTTACGAAATGCCGGGCGAGCCCGTGGGGAGAGAGTAGCTGTGACCACGGGAAGCACGCCAGCGTGGTATGCTCAGGTGGGTTTAACCACAGCGGGTCAGGATGCACCAGTAATTTCCCCCATCCCAGCTGGGAGCTTCACCCCACTTGCTGCTGGGTCAAGTACCCTTAAACCCTCTGAGAAGTTCCTCCAAGGTGGGGATGAGATGCTCAGGGTTCAGAGGTGAGGTGACCATGCAGCACCAGCTACATGCCAAAACACAAGGTCCTTCCTCCTCCCATGAAGCGGCTGGATGCTCTGAGCATATTCCTGCCTGTTTGCAGGCTCGGATGTTTCCAGCCTTGCCCCAGTCCGGCTGATGGATGGCCCAGGTCGCTGCGCTGGGAGGGTCGAGGTGTTTCACAATGAGAAATGGGGGACGGTGTGCGACGACAGCTGGGACTTCGCTGACGCCAAAGTGGTGTGCCGGCAGCTGGACTGCGGGATGGTGATATCGGCTCCACGGCGGGCTTCCTTCGGGCAGGGACAGGGACCCATCTGGTTGGACGATGTGCGCTGCATGGGGACCGAGGCAGCCCTCTCTGAATGCAGAGCCAAGGGCTGGGGTGTCCACGGATGTGAGCACGGAGAAGATGCCGGTGTGGTGTGCTCAGGTAACCGCCGCCCATCGTGGTGCTGGGAGCACCGTGGCAAAGCTTATCATGGTCCTGCTGCACTGGGGTTTAACTTGGCTTTCCCCTGTGGGGGTGCAAGGGCTTGCAACGCAAGCCAGCCTGGAGACCCTTTGCTTTCAAGTCAGCCCTTCGTGGTCCATCCTGGTAGAAGAGGGCAGCCATACACAGACATTAAAGGCCAAGAAAAGCAAATGTCTTTCCCATTGGCACAGCTACCACTAAAAATACGGTTTCCGGCATGCTTTTGGCTGATGTTATCACAAAACCTGGCAGTTAGCACGGGCCAGAGACCATTTCCATCAGGCAAAGTACAGCGAGGCCACCTACTTCTTCACAGCAGAGCAGACTGCAATACAAGTGGGTCTTCTCCCATTATGGTCAGGGAGGACTCTCCAACACCTTTGGTCGAACCATTGGTGGATGTGCCCCGTGACGCTCAGAGCTGTGCGAGCCCCTGGGCCCATCTCCCATCCCTCTCTCTCCTCTCCAGCTCTGACTTTCTGCCAGAGAAACCCCGCAGCCCATTTTAAGAAGCTGGGGTCACTGGGTTGCAACCAGGTTGCTTAATACCAGCATGGACTTTGCTTAATATCTGGGTGTCACTGACTTGAGACAGCCAACATTGAATTCAGTCACCCCAGCACAGGAAGGTGGCATCTCACCCTAGCTGGGCTAAGAGATCCTACAGGAAAACCTATGCCCTTCAGGAGCAGCACCTGGAGGGCAGGTGAGGCACCCCAGGAGTCCCAAATGGCACAAGGATGCCTACGTCTTGGCGACTGGACCTTGCCCTATGTGTCTGCTTTAGGAGGGCAAACTATATAAGGTTCATTGACTGTAGTCTGGTCAAGCCCATGCTGATCAAGCCTTGGGTACCGCTTGGGCCACTTCACATCACACCTCAAAGGTCTGCCCTCTCTGTCGTTGCAAGAGCATCCCTGACCCCCAAGGCTGCTCAGCCTCTGGTATAAACCCATTGCTGGCAGCCGGAGGTTTCACAAGGCAGAAGGTATCTCCTTGACGTGTGTACGCTCTCTGATGTTATAGGATCGGGCATTTCTGACCTCGGAAACCTCCGCCTGGTGAATGGCTCAGACTCGTGCTCCGGGAGAGTTGAAGTGTTTCATGATCAGCGCTGGGGGGGCATCTGCGCCGAAGGCTGGGACCTGGCCGAAGCCAACGTGGTGTGTTGGCAGCTGGGCTGTGGGAAAGCACACTCGGCCACCGGGTCTACCCAGTTTGGGACAGGAGATGGCCTGATCTGGGTGGATGCTGTGGACTGCACTGGGATGGAAGCGGCCCTCTTCGAATGCAAGGTCAAGCTCTGGGGTACCAAGAGCTGCAAGTCAAGGGCACACGCAGGCACCATCTGCTCTGCAGCCGCAGGTCAGTGGCGGTGAGTCAGGGATCAGTCCTCCCCTGGGGGAGGCCATGCAGTGTGGCTAAAGCCCATCCAGCTCCTCCTTGTCCTGGCTCAACCACCCCTTATTCCTGCGGTCCCACCAGGAAGCACAAGGCGTTTTCCATTTCGAGGTCTACCAGTCCCTGGCTTCCCTCAGGCAAAGTGCTTGGAAATCCCAAGCCTAATCCCTGGCTTCCCTCAGGCAAAGTGCTTGGAAATCCCAAGCCTGAGATTCCCAGAAATCCCAAGCCTGTAAAACGCAGACTTTCCATCACATGCAAAGAGCCCTGGCACACCAGGGTTGCAGCTGCCCCTGTGGGGTTTTTTTTGATCCGTGGCTACCGCAAAGCCTCTAGTCCTGAGGGAGCTCCTTCTCTTCATCAAGCTGTTCCTTGCTCAAGTGCGCAATGCACTTGATGCCTCCTTGCCTGCTTGTCCCCATGAGGATATTCACGTGATGGGAGTTCCTCAGTAATTTGGCCAAATTCACAATCTACTGGGCGTGCTCCTCGCAGGCCTGTCCCAAAAGGTGTTCATGCATGCACACCCAGGGTGCAGCAGCAGCAGAACTGCTACGTGTTGGTGGAGACCTTGCAAGACCCCTTGCAAGGAGAGAGAGGTGCACTGTGTTGCCAGCCACTGGACAGGTAGGCGTTTCTGGCCAGCCTTTATTGTCCTCCGATTTTGTTTTTAGACTTGGACCTGGGGAGCCCAGAAGTCCTGCAGCTGGTGAACGGCCCCCACCGCTGTGCTGGGAGGGTGGAGGTCTTTCACAGCCAGCAGTGGGGAACCATCTGCGATGACAGCTGGGACCTGAGCGACGCAACTGTGGTGTGCCGGCAGCTGGGCTGTGGGACGGCCGTGTCAGCCCCAGGTTTATCTCATTTTGGGCAAGGATCTGGCCCCATCTGGTTAGATGGGGTGAGGTGCCACGGGACAGAAGCCACCCTCATCGAATGCCTGGTCAGTCCTTGGGGACAGCACACATGTAGCCACATGGAAGATGCCAGCGTTGTGTGCTCAGGTAACCCTCACCAGGTGCTTTCTCTGTAAGATGGACCAAGCCCCATCCTGCAGGCTGGGAACAGTTTGGGAACAAGCTGGCCAACAAATTGCCCAGATTGGTAGAAACCATGTTAAAATAACAGTGTTCAGAGGCACGGAAAAATATGATATGCTGGGAAAAAAGCAGCATGGCTTAAGACATGCCCCAGTGTCTGGCATCACTGGAGGTGTCCAAGATGTTTTCATGGGGTGAAGCACCTGCACCCTTTGGGAACAGCAGCTGGAGGATGCATGGGTGCTGCTTGAGTGGCAGCAGATGTGTCTGCGCCCTGCTCCAGCTCAAGAGCAGGCAGAGTGACTTCTGCTGCCGGCACTGTAAAATGCCAGGATGTGAAGATAAATGCAGAAAGATGCGCTGGAACCAGCTCCTCTCATGCGATACACCACTTTTGAGCTTGCTGCTACCATCTAGCCTTGGTCTTAGAAGGTCAACCTCCACAGACAGGTCAATGTGGCAGTGAGAAGCAGTCAGGACAGAGACAACCAGAAAAAGATCCTTTGCCATTTCCTTTAGGGCAAGAAGCAGGTAGTGCCAGGTGAACTGAAGTGCTGCAGCTTCCAAGCAAGTGGGAAGGAAAGCATGGAGAAATACCAGGAGGACCCTTGTGCATCCCTTCTTCCCAGCACGGTGTCCCTCAGAAGGAGACATGTGCTCTTTCTCCTGTCCCAGCCTCTGAACCAGGGTGCAACCACCCTCAGGGTGCAACTGGTGGAAGGGATGTTCTGCAGCTCCTTCAAAAACCCCTGTGCTCGCTTTGGTGCAAGTCCCTGATAAAGGGCAAGGGACGTCCAAGCTTGCCACAGCAACACCACCCAGACCTGCTGCAGGGATGTCCTGCCCTCTCCAACCCAGCAGGTGTTCAGCTGCACGAGCATATCCCTAATAATGCCCATTTTGGGGTATTTTTCAGGCTCAGGTGTCGCCAGCATTTCTAAGCTTCGCCTTGTGGGTGGTTTGAGTGAGTGTGTCGGGAGGGTCGAGGTGTTTCATAACAACGAGTGGGGGACGGTCTGCGACGACAACTGGGACCTGCGTGATGCAGAAGTGGTCTGCCGGCAGCTGGGCTGCGGGGTGGCCCTCGCGGCCCTCAACTCAGCTCCGTTTGGGCGGGGAGCCGGCCCCATCTGGCTGGACGACGTCAGCTGCACGGGGGAGGAAACAGACTTCTTCGACTGCCAAAGCAAGACATGGGGCATCCACAACTGCCACCACGGGGAGGACGCCGGCGTGACGTGCTCAGGTGAGAGCTGGGATGGGGCTGGCCGGAGGCAGAGCTCCTGACAGTACCCAGGGGCGGGCAGCTGGCCCCCTTTGGAGAAGATGCTGTGTGCAGGGCTGCGTAGGGGCTTCCTGCAGCTCTCACCCATGTGTATCTCGTGGACCTTCACCTCAAGAGCAAGGTCCTACACCTGGGTTGGGGCAACCCCTGATATCAATTCAGGCTGGGGGATGAAGGGATCGAGAGCAACCCTGTCGAGAGGGACTTGGGGGTGCTGGTGGGTGAAAAGCTGCACATGAGCCAGCAACGTACGCTCACAGCCCAGAAAGCCAATCGCATCTTGGGCTGCGTCAACATGGCCAGCAGGTCAAGGGAGGGGATTCTCCCCCTCTGCTCTGCTCTGGTGAGACCCCACCTGCAGTGCCATGTCCAGCTCTGGGGCCCCCAACATAAGAAAGACATGGACCTTCTCGAGCAGGTCCGGAGGAGGTCACGAAGATGATGAGGGGGCTGGAGCACCTCTCCTGTGAGGACAGTCTGAGAGAGTTGGGGTTGTTCAGCCTGGAGAAGAGAAGGCTCCAGGGAGACCTTATTGTGGCCTTCCAGTGCTTAAAGGGGCCTATAAGAGAGATGGGGACAGACGTTCTACTAAGGCCTGTAGCGACAGGACAAGGGGCAAGGGCTTTAAACTGAACAAGTGTCAATTTAGATTGGACATAATGAAGACATTTTTCATGATGAGAGTGGTGAGACACTGGCACAGGTTGCCCAGAGAAGCTGTGGGTGCCCCCTCCCTGGAAGTGCTCAAGGCCAGGTTGGATGGGGCTTTGAGCAACCTGATCTAGTGGAAGATGTCCCTGCCCATGGAAAGGGAGATGGACTGGATGGTCTTTAAAGGTCCCTTCCAACCCAAACCCTGCAGCCAGGCATCGCACCCAGGGTTTTGTCCCCCACCCAGTAAACCAGCAGCACCCGGACCAATGCCCAAACGCTGGCCCTGCCCTGCTCCTCCCTGGAGGCACGTGGGATGCTGCAGGTGGGGGGTGCTCCAGGGATGTGGGGTGCCCTCCAGCCCTGTGCCCACCTATTTGCCTCTCCACCAAAGCAGGAAACTCCAGCTCCACTGTCCTGCAGCTGGTGGATGGGCCACACCGCTGTTCCGGGAGGGTGGAGGTGCTCCACGCCGGGCAGTGGGGGACGGTCTGTGGCAACAGCTGGGACCTGAATGACGCGGCAGTGGTGTGCAGGCAGGCG